CTCGCTCTCTCTCTCTCTCTCTCTCGCGCTCTCTCTCTCCCTCTCTCGCTCTCTCCCTCTCTCTCTCTCCCCCTCTCTCTCTCTCTATATATATATATACAATTATATGCATTTGTTTACAATTATATGCATTTATTTACAATTAAAGGTTATTTTATAGTGGCTTTCTACTTACAAATATGGAAAATAATGTATATTTTCGAAACATTCCAGAATTAAAGCTAATTATATCGATACTCACCGCTGCACGAGCACGTCGATAACAGCATTAACGCAACTGAAAATCCTGTGAAACGAACAGATCGAATTCCAGGGGCAAAAGGCATCCCGGTCCTTTTCATTCAGTCCGTTCGCATTTTAATAGGTCCATGTGTTCATAAACTTAACCGTGAAGCTTCAGTTTCAGATTGAGTTGATGTCTACATTATACCTGTCAGATATGTTTTTTCATCAGCACACTTTCACTGACTGACCCACACACACTTTCACTCGCACAGAAAATGCGCTCGAAAGCGAAAGTAATTCCACATCCACTACATTCATAACTACATGACACCCAGTAGGCTACAGTAACTCACACTTAAGTCTCCACATCCACCCAGTGGACGTTCACTCACATTAAACTGAGCTGCATCGGGATTTTTTTGTGTGTAATTAACTACTACTACAAATAAATATAAATAACATAAATGTCAACTGTAACAACTTCCCAGCTTGATGTTCTCATTAAGTTATTATAACTTTTCTTCTGATTATTCTCTGAACGTTCAAAACCTTTTTTTCTTGGTTATGTGAAGTTTGATAAAACATTAGGTGAACGTTATAGTTTTATCATTTTGCAAACATTATTGGAATGTTACTTTTGAATGTTCTCTGAACCTTCTGAAAATAGTATCTAACGTTAGACGTTCAACTAAAATGTTTCAGAAAACGTTCCATGAATGATGTATAAATGACTTTCGAGAACGTTATTAAAGACCCGATAACTTTGAACGAACCTTTTATTAACGTTACTGGAAGAATGTTCATGACAGAATATTCTGAGAAAGTTCCCTGTTGGCTGGGTCAGGGGCGATTCTAGGATTTTCATTTTAGGGGGGCTCAGCCCCCAATGAGGGTATAATATATATATATATATA